GCAGACTCAGTGTGTGGTGGATAAAAGAGCCAGCAAAAATAAGATATAATTTATTAAGCTTTAATTTCTCCTACTTCTTCAATAAACTTAAGACATCAGAGTATAACTTAGTTAATTAAAAGTGGAGATTAAAAGGAACAAGAAAAACTAAGAATAAGCATGCTTTTTGATTTCTATTCCATTATCCCAACAACTAGAATAGGGATCCTTTAATACTTCCAGGAATACTATCCCTACTGAGATGCTATATATTCTGGTCTGAAGGGCAAAAAGCTTTAGATTCCTCTACAGGTAGAAAGGTTGTGCTGGCCATGGCCCTGAAAGCTGCTCTGACTTGGGCAATAGTGGCAGCCCCAGCTGCCTCTCTGGCTCGGGCTCTCTCTTTCTCCTCTCTCAAAGCTTCTTCATAACAGCATGGGTAGTCACTGGGGTGGGTACTATTGACCTTTGCACAAAACTCCAGCACTTCCATCTTGCTGGTTTCAAGGTGTGCTCTTGGACCCCACAGGAACTCAGAACGTGGAGGATCACTGTGGGGCACCTGGCGGCACTCCAGGTACTCCAGCCTCACAAAATCGGTGATGAGCTTCCTGGGCTCCCCAAAGATGAAGTGCTTCCTCCGAGGGTACACATGCATTAGACGCAGATCTCTCCAGATCTCTTCCTCAGAGACGCAGTTGCCATTCATGAAGATCATACCCAGGATATGCATCAGGAGACCGGTCTTGGGGAACCCCTTGCCAGGACGCACCCTCCCATTATTGGGGAGTTTTAGTTTGCTGACAAGGGCGTAGGAGTGTCTGATTGAGTCCACTTCATTCATGTCTAATGCAAAGAAGGTTTCAATTTGCTCAGAAACTTTCTTGAGCATCTCAGCAAATCGGTCTTGGTAATCTTCCCCGACAATATGCAGCATATCAGCCTTCAAAATGGGCTTTTTCAATTTATACCTGCTCAGAATGAATTGCTCCAAAGACACAATCCTGGTTTGGAAATCATCCACGTCTGAGACCTCAGTGAAGAGTGGGATCTCAGAGGAGACAGCCTCATCCTCCTCTTGGCTGCTGAAAGCTTCATCAGACCCAGGGCAAGAAACAGCTACAGAAGCAGTGGTGGTGGTTTGTGCTCTTTGAGGGCCCTGGGAAGTGTTACGTGACCCAGCCATAGGCAGACCCTGGCTAATACCTTCATGCTGAGTAGAGAAAGAGGGAGTGGACTCCTCTCCTGCTTCTGCAGTGGCCTGAGCATTGCCATGACTCTGAGGCTCACTTCGGGCATGATGGCGTTTCTTGTTTTTGTGACGCCGAGGCATGATGTCACTATGGTCAGGGACAGCAGGCAGGAGT